TTTCTCTTAAATTAAAAATAATTAGAATAATAATAATATTATTAAACACATACTTAAAGCTCGACAGTATTCCTCCTAAAAAAATTAAAAATAATAAAATAATATGTATATATATATGAAAATCAAAAGCCTTTTATTAACAAACTTGTAACTCATTTGAATGAATACTATTTTCATTAGTAATTTTAAATATTTTAATTGATATACCGAATCACAGCATCTCTAACAACTTCTTCTCTTCACTTCCTCCTCTCCTAGTTCATCATCATTATTTGCTTTCGGCTGCCCACTGTTTCCTCAGTCCCGAGACGAGCCACGCCTCCCAGCTGCGCGTAGTGGTGGGCGAGCATGATCTGTCCAGTGTCTACGAGACGTTTTACACACGCTTCTACGATCTGGATGCGCTGATACCACACGAGCAGTTCAGCCAAGCGAATGGTCAGATGAGGAACGATATCGCCCTCCTGCGCACCCGCACGCCCATCCTCTTCAATCGCAGCGTGGGCCCGGCCTGCCTGCCCCTGCAGCCCGCTGCGAATGGCAAAAAGCTGCCGCTGGTGGGGCAGCAGCTGGTGGCTGCCGGCTGGGGCACCACATCGTACGGCGGTCCACAGACGCACCGACTGCTGAAGACGACGCTGGACGTGATCAGCGCCGAGCAGTGCCGCAATTCGCTCAGCCAGGGCTCTGTGCCGGCGCACAGCTTCTGCACCTACAGCCCCGGCCGGGACACGTGCCAATACGACTCCGGCGGAGCGCTGTACGAGCGCAGCAACGGCCGCCTCATGGCCGTTGGCATTGTGAGCTACGGCTACGCCTGCGCCACGCTGCAGCCATCGGTGAACACGCGCATTGCCTCCTTCATCAAGTGGATCAGAGCCCAGACCCCAGAGGTGGCTTACTGCTTGAAGCAGATATAAATGGACTCAAGGAGAGGGAAGAATTGCATTTAAGAAAATCAACTTATTTGTGAATATTTATAATAAAAAGTATGTAAAAGAACTGAGAACTGTTCCCATTATACACACAGTCTGATGCATCAGCCAATTATCTCAATGCATAGTCTAGATTGATTAAGTCAAGTGAAGCTTTGAAGTATTGCCTATATCCATATCGAACTATGTAGATGATTATGCTTGCATTCCATGCTCTCATTGCAAGTCCTCCTGGCTGTCAATCAACTCCAGCTACTTGCCGTCAAGTGGGTGTCAAGTTTGGCGCTATGCTTGAATGGTCTGCCAACAGGCGCAGCAGGAAGAGCAGCAGCAGGAGCAGCAGCAGGAGCAGCAGCATCAGCCAATTGACTCATCAATCATGAATGAGAATCTTAACGCCTCGCTGGCGCTCTATGCCCCGACGCAGATTGCAATTAAGCGCAAATGTCAACTAATTAACCTCAATGGCTGCTGGCAATGCAAGAGACAACACTCACTGCCGTTCTCTCTCTCTCTCTCTCTCTTCCATCTCCCTCTCTTGCTCGTCCTGCTCCGCTTCTGATGCTCTGTCAATAAAAATGCTGCATTTTTGCAATTTTGTTGCTTTCTACTGATTCGTTTGGTTTTCATTTTTGTTGTATTCCTTTTGCCTTTTGTGCTGCTTGCTGCGTCGCCATGCGCTGTCGTCGTCTTCCTTTCAAATAAATAATTAAACGTTTGCCATAACATATGAAGCATGCTTTTAGGCTTAAAGGCAATACAAATCGTCTGCCAGTCACTGTCTATGCGGTTGCTGCCATTTTTTGTGTATAACCCCTCAGCCGACGATTATATTCGTATTTGGATTTGTATTTTTTATTTATATCGAATGCTCTAACTGCAGGCATTGTGAAACCTTATTGAGATGTGTAACATAGTTTCATATTTCTTTAAAACTGCTCATAAATATTTTTTATAAATATAAAATGGTATAATGGTAACACAAAGATCTATATAATTATATTCAAAGAAAGTAGTAGAAAATTCCTAATAAATGGAAAAATTAAGGCAAAAAAATAAAAATTAAATTAAATAAAATATATAATAATAATAAATAATTAAATTTAAAAAATGAAATAATTAAAAAAAATATAATATAATAACAAAATAAAAAAAAAAAATAATTTAAAAAAAAAAACAAAAAAAAAATATATATAAAATTAAATAAAATATATAATAACAATAAATAATTAAATTAAAAAAAAAAAAATAAATAAATAACAAAAATAATATAATAACAAAATAAAAATAATAAAAATTAAAAAATAATAATATTAATAAAAATAGTAAAATAATAATAAATTTAAATTTAAAATTTTTGAAAATCTGGCATTTAGATATTGTTCTTTATGATACATAGTATGATATGATACATAGTATGATATGATACATAGTATATTTTGTAATTGTGACTTAATAAAAATATAAAGTGTCTATCTCACTTGGAACTCCGCATACTGAGAGTCAAGTCACATTTGTTCCGCAAGTGCATTTCCATAATCGGCTTGCCTCTATCCCAACTGTTTTTTCGTCTTGCTGTCTCTTTTGTTTTTCTGCATGTTTATTTCTTTTCGCATGTTGGTCTAACTGCAATGCACTTTTCAATACCCAGTCGCATATGTGAGCAGCTTCTGTGACTCCCCCGTCCGGCTAAGCTGTCCGTTTTTGAGGCTTTGCCTGCACTCGGGTGCCGTTGCAGTGCAAGAGTATAGGCTGCTCTGCTTCTTCTGCAGAGAACTCTCCTGTCTCCCTCTCCCTCTCCCCCTCTCTCTCTCTCTCTCTCTCACTCTCTCTGTGTGCTTGTTTTGTCTGTGCCGCTTGTGCCTTGCGAGGCTCGTCTGGTCGGCTCTGTTGTTCAATTTACGTAAAACGCGGCAACGTCAACTGCAGTCGGCGGCATCAAGTGTTGCGTGTTGCCAGCCCTATGCGCCGCCCCCTCCCCCCACCGATGGGCGTGGCACTAGGCATAGAAATCGCTGGCATAGACTGGAGGCACTAATTGAAAAGCAGCATCCACTAACGCCAACAACGGCAATGGGCTGAGCTGGCTCTAGGGAAATGCAGTTGTTTAACTACAGTGAACACTGCTTAGCGCTGATTCAATTGCATTTATTTATAGTTGGCGATGTAGCAAGGGGATGTGCTTAGGTAACTGAATATATATGTATATAAACAGAAAAATGCTTCCAGAAATTTAGCTCCCTCTCCCTCTCTCTCTCTCCACTCTTCCTTTCTGTTCTACTCGCTCAGTCGAAACGTTTTCAAATTTCCTTTGCATACTTTTGTGCTGCATTTGATTACAAAATGGCGTCGCTGTTGGGGGCGTGGCACCCACGCTGCCGTCGTAATACGCGCCTAAGCATTGGCATTTAGTTTTCGTTTTTGCTGCGCTCGCCGCGCCAAAAACTCTGCAATGCGAAACGCAGCGGCAAGTGCGGCAAGCGCCTGGACTTTGACTATTCATTAGCGTGTGTGCCAAACTCTAACAAGCTCAAAAAGCAATTTGCAAGAGGCAGCTAAAAATTGGTAAAAATATCGACATGTCGGCTCATGGAATTGACGTTTTATAGGGCCACCGGGTGCTGGGTGCTGGTTGCTGGCTGCTGGGGGGCGGTGGTTTGGCTCACTTTGACTGGTTGGGTGGTGCACGTTACATAAAACCACGCGTCGCACAAAAGCCGCCAAATCGTTGTACACAAAACACCGAAATACAAAATGGCCGACCTATCAATATAAAAGTGGAAATGATAGCGGTTCCAGTAATTGAAATCGCCAAAAGTTGGCGGGCTTTATGTAAATATTTCCATAATTCATTTATAGCAATTATTTATTAGTTTAAATATATTTGTTATTGCCAGAGTAATAATTAACATATTTTTGTTTTGTCCTCACTTTGGCGAATTTCATACGATTTGCTTGTTTGGACTGCATTGTTAGCACATTTTTTGCGCTGGCAAATATTTGGAGTTGTTTTTTTTTTTTGGCTTTATGTTTTTTTATCGGCCACATTGTGTGGTCAGAAATTAGCTGCGCTTTGTTGTCCACGTAGTAGGCCAATTAAATCCGTTCACATCAACAAAAACATTGCGAAATGCGAGTTTGGCCTTTTAGTTTCATATTTTAGCAACAAAACAAATTATCACGTGGCCGCTGTAAGCGAAGGACTTTGGTTTTTCATTTCAATATTGAATTTTGTTTAAGTAATAGAAGAGCAGTTGATATAAGATATTGTAGTGCATTTTGATTTGCAATTTTTTAATAATTAAGCATTTTTGTTTAAGCTAAATTCTAATAAACTCTAAATAAAATAAATAAAAATATTTGTTTTAAATTTTTAAAAACTGTTAATACATTTTCAATATATTATTAAAAAAAAATAAAAAAAAGTAATAAGATATGGAAATGCAATTCGATTTTTAATTTTTTAATAATTAAAAATTTTTGTTTAAGCTAAATTCTAATAAACTTTAAATAAAATAAAGAAAAATATTTGTTTTAAAATTAAAAAAAAAAAATATGTTAATAACAATATGTAAGCTAAAACAAAATAAAATAAAAAATTAATATAGACTAATTATAAATTTTGTTTAAGTAATAGAAGAGCCGTTGATATTAGATATGGAAATTCAATTAATAATTAAAAACTTTTCTTTAAGCTAAATTCTAATAAACTTTAAATAAAATAAATAAAAATATTTGTTTTAAAATTAAAAAAAAAAAAAAAAAAAATGTTAATAACAATATGCTTCATTGTCAAAATATTATGTATGCTAAAGCAAAATAAATTAAAAAAATTAATACAGACTAATTATAAAATTTCCCTTTGTTAATTATGAGTTCAGCTTGTGTAAAACTAATAAAACTAATAATAAAAAATTAGAAAAAAAACTTCAGATTTTCTACCATACACATATTACAAAGAAAGTTGTAAATTATTTTTTAGCCTTTAAAATTCATTTAATGCTTTAAGCGAGAAAATGAATATGCTTATGCAAATGTAAATTAAAAAATAAAAACTTCAATATATTTGATGAATCAATTTGATTGTTTTATAAATAAAAAAAAAAGATTCGTAATGGTTGCACACGAATTTCCATAAATGAGTTACATCAGAAATTGATTCCTAAATTTGTATCCCATGCGTCTGGTGAAGTAGAATCTGTAGCTGATGTCGGTTTTGTCTATAGCACCTTTTGCAGACTCCCATCAAATTGTGCTCCAGACAAAAGAGCACACTCGCATTACATTGCATACTTTCCCAGAATCAGCCTTCGCCTGAACTCGGCCCAGCGATATTTCGCGTCCTTCGACCTGAATTCATTGTTCAGCGGATGCCTGTGCCATGCGTCCCTGCGCTTAGCCACCCTGTGGCTATTGACATATTTCACTGGGGGCAGCTTGTTGAGCATCCACTTTCTAATTGCTGAATTACTGTGCATTTTGCGTATCGATTCGGCTTCCTGCTTCACATTAGCCTCAAACAAGCTGACATTCTGCCCACATGCGCAAAGTGACGAGGTTGCCTTTCGTATTACATTTGAGTAGTTGCGACGAATCACGGCCATTTTCTGTTGTGGTCACAGTAAATCGGAATTTGGAATTTATGGTTTGCCGAAAAAACTCTGAGAATCGAACACAATTGTATGACTAACTTTACGAAACTGTTGCTGTCTCTACATTTATCATGACATACTATAAATTGACTGTATGTATATATTTTTCATTTGATGTTTAAAACTTTCATAAATCTATATAGTATATATTTTGATCACGTTGAAATTTAGCTCATGAAATGAAACTTAATGAATTTGTTTTTGCAGTTGTTTATTCGAGCTATTACTAAATATTCTTCAATGCATAGTACTACTGTTCTCTGTTCACTGAGTTGGTTACTTATTTCAAATTTGTTTACTGTATATATATATATATTTTTTTTTCAGGAATTAAGTAGGTGAGCACGCTTTAGACTTTTGTTCCTCTCTTATAGTTCAAGGATATTGAGTGCTATTTAAAGTCAGTCGATTAAAATGAATTGAGCTCAAGGCGTAATATTTAATACTTACTCTTATACTCTATAAGTTTGCAAACTTCAGAGTCTACCCTTATCATTTAAATATCATGTGTACCATATATCATGCGTCTGCGAAAATCGGCCCAACGATAACGCGCATTCCAGTGCGCGAAATTTGTGTTCTCCTTTTTGATTTGCTGTTGGTAATTCTTAAAATTCTTCACATAGGTCGACGGTGCATGATGATACTCTGGATTGGGCTCACGGCGCTGCTGGACAATGTGCTTCTTAATGACAGTTTGCGACTTGGGCACCTTCTGCTGGGGCAGCTCACACTTTCGTCGGAGCAACGATCTCTTAAACACTGAAAGACTACGACTTGACATTATGATCAAATTTGTGAATTTAACACTCGCTTTTTTTTTTGCCTTTGGTTGCACTAAATTAAGTGTTTTATGCGTGATTTGGATGCGACTCAAAACTGATAAGCTTCCGAATATGTGTAATGGTTGAAAATAAATGAGGTATTTAATATTCGAACGACATATGAAACTGAGGCAACACTGATTCGGCTGTAAAAGTAGCAGCAACACTCATATTTGGAGATAGTGTGTGGCGATTATATTTTATATTGCTTTGAATCCTTCAAAATATCAGAGGCAATTTACCTAATTATTGAAATTTCTGTAAATTAACTGTAATTCTTACTTTCCTGTAGATTATGCTATGTGCTAGTTTAGTTATGTGGGCATATCATATTTAGGTCTTCTGTGTAGCTTTGATAATATTCCATATCCAGAGGTCACGTTGCAGAGTTTTGCAAAGATCTTCCAGAGATCATGCCACAGAGCCCCATAGGGGCATTCCATATAGGAAAGACGAATATATCCTTTTGGATTTGCTATATAAGGCTAAGGCTCTCTTGGCATCAATATATGCAATTAGTTTAAGTTTATTCCATTCGCAGCGGGACTTTTTATAATTTAGACAAGGCTTGACTGTTGTCTTTTATTATTATTTGTGAAGAGCTCTTAGCCCGCTTTTGTGCTACTTAACACGCAAGTTCGCTCTTCAGAAACTAGCGACATACTTTGTTATATTTTCCATCTTTTTTATTTTCCTTTTTTTTTGAGCTCTCTCAATATGTAAAGGCAAGAGCAGAAGCAGAGGCAAAAGCAAAAGCAACAGCAGAAAGTGGCCGAAGAAAGGACCGAATACAAATAAGAGTGCACTCAAGTAATACGCTTCATAATTTTTATTGTCAAGCCTTTTGGGGTTTGAGCTCTTGGCGTCGTTGTTGGCCCACTCGACAACAAAAGCTGCCGGGCGCTTGGCATAAAAGAAAAACAATAAAACAGCCAAGCGAGGCAGAGAGAGAGAGAGAGAGAGAGAGAGAGAGAGAGGCGCAAAATGAAGTGCCACGACTGGCAGCAACACAGATTGCATCAAAGCAGAACAACACTTTTTTTTTTTTCAAAGCAGCATAAATTTTATAATATACAAAAAATCAATGGGGCAAAAAAAAAAAAAAAGAAAATAAAAATACATAAAAAATAAAAAAGAGTCAAAGGATTACACAGGCACTGGCAGCGAGGTCCAACGGACACTTCTTATGCAAAGCACTGTGGCCCACTAGCAGGAGTAGCAGCAGCAGCAGCAGCAGGAGTAGCAACAGCAACAGCAACAGCATCCCTCCCGTTATGCGACGTGCTGCACCCTTTTTGGCCAAGTCATGCAATTAACTTGGCCCGGCAGAATGCTCTGATTTCATTTTCGTGTTCATTGTTTTTGTTAAGTTGTTGCCATTTCTAGTGCTTTGTGCGAGTTAATTTTAATGCATATACATACATATACACAACCATTTATATATACATAGAAACATACATTTATTTATATAAAAAATCTGCAATTCATTTTGTATTTTCCACTTGTTGGCGTAATTAGTCGAGACTGCACTCTGACGTTGTCTTTGATGTTGTTCGTGTTAAATTGGGCCAAATACTAGAAGCGGCCTACTTGACCGAAGAGCTCGTAATTGTTTAATTACAGCATGTATAGGTAAAGGAGGAGGGAATGAAACAGCAGCAACAACAATCCATAAATCATATATATATTTAATAAGCAAACTCTGTTTTTTTTTTCATACATTAAAAAACAAAAAAATGCTCTTAACTTAACTTCTGATAACTTCTGGTTCATTCACTTTCTTCTCTTACTTCACTGTGGAATTTTGATGCAGGGCGAGTGCAGTTCCCCGACGAGTTCTTTGATTCTCAGTAGAGCTTGATGTTTTCCTAGACACCCAGTCGCTTGAGACTATATTTCTATTTGAAGTGACTCTGTTCGGTAACTAGAATGGTAATATGTGAAATATATTAATGATGATTCAAATAGTGTGCAAATGTTTTTTTTTTTTTTTTTTATAGTTTACTCGCGGCTTCTGCTGAAGATAAAACGATACCGATCAAAAAAAGAAAATGATTTTTTTTCTGTTTTATTTGCCTAACAATTTCCTTTATTTTATTTGATCTTTGCTGGCATTGTCAAGTATTATATGTATGTAGGAAATTTTCGATTTTAAATTCCAATAAATAACTGCATGCAAGAGTTAAATTTTTTGTTGTAAAAATAATTGGTAAAACCGAAATTTGGGTGAAGCCGTAAGTAAGCTCTGTGTCTGTGTACCTTGCGGCAGCACAATATTGTGTTTAATAGCCTGTACCTCCATATATCATACGATGACGAAACGCGGCCCAGGTATTTCTGTGGTTGTTATACGTTGAATAAGGCGCGATCACTTTCTTTGAAAGCGCATGCTGATGAGACGGTCGTTGCCTGGTCACCTGCGATAGCAGTTCCTGATCAGCTTTGCGCTGAAGCAGTTGGTCGTCCTCCTTGTCAATATTTCCAAAGATTACTTCACGAACAGTGCCCACCTCCACGTCCTCGTCGCTCTCGTCGCTCAGATCCTGCTTCTCTTCGGAGTAGGTCTCGCTGTGCGACTGTGCCCCGGCGGCTGCGCTCCGTTTGGACTTTGCATTCCTTAGCGCAATCATGCTGTTGCGTCGGGGCGTAGCACCCGATCTTCTGGCCAAATGCATTCGCATGCTATTGGTGCCAAATTGTCTGAAGTTGTTCCAGTCGCGGCTCTGTTGCGCCAGTTGAGCAGCTGCGAAGCTTTCCTCGCGCTCTGGCCACGATCGCTTGTCGCTCAGCTTCATGCTCATTGCCAATGCATCGTAGCTTTTCTCCAGCAGGGCTCGGCTACTATAGGGACGCCGACACACCTGCAGAGTTCGGGCGACACATTTCACAGTCGATACGCTCCTTGAGGTCATTGCCGAAAATGTTTAACTAAAACTTTTGGGGGATACAAATTTATAAATAAATATTTTTCACCTACTTCTGGGCAAATCTTTTAAAAAAACAATTTTTATACTTTCGAAAAATGAAATTTTGTTAATCTATGTATGACGAGAAGTGAGGCATTAAAATATAAGATCTAAAATTCAATATCGTCATTATAAGTGACATTGAATGCAGTGACTGCTTAAGATTAGATCTAAATATGAAAAAGGAGAGGTAATTGATTCTCTATTTAAATAAAATATGAATCCAAATGCATAAGAAGCCAAAATTTTGATGATTTAGATTCATTGCGAAAATCTATCTGTATAATTTGGCATATTTTTTTCCATTTAGTAAATGTGGGAATATATTGAAAATGAGAATAGATATTGTAAAATTCTTAGGCTTGAATACGCCTCGTCTCGCCTAATGAAACGCTCTAGGCTCAATATAAAGTTTCTATATCTTTTTATGAAAATTTCTTATATTTAAAAGAAGGGGAATTACAAAATACAGCGTACACACATTATTAGGAATTGTAATTAAAATTTTTATTATTTATTTGAAATACATATATGTATATTTTCACAGCATTCAACACTCATTCCTATAAATACAATCGATTTCCACATTCAAACACTTCCCTGAGTATTACATCTTTGCTATATCGAAACCGAACGCCACATCTTGTTATTTATTTATTTATTTGTGTATTTATTGCCAGCAGAATTCAATTAAAAACCTACTTGAGTTGCGTTCCAAACAAATTACAAATACATGCACGACAATGCAAAAATATTCTCCCCCTAGAAAAAACAATTTGCCTCGTCACATGAACAATTTATTAATTCTGCAGTAGGCAACAGACGCAGCAGGCGCAACGTTTAGGGCTGGAATCATTTTTTGGCTTGCAGGCTTCAAGGCCTATGCAAAATTTAACGCAATTTTCAGATAACATAAAGCCGGCAACAACAACGTCGCCGAGAAATTGAGTTAGCACACAATTACAACAACAATTATGAGTTGCATTTTACAATAAATGCAAATATAACAAACAAAAGTAAATACGGCAACGAACGATGAATGCACTGCAAATGATATAAAGATTATTTTTATATTTTATATATACATATATAATATATCATTTTAGAAAAAATTTACAAAAATATACTTGGGTTATTTACATTTATTTTTAAAGATTTTAAATAATTTTTTATATTCATTAATCCAATTCCAGATATGATTTTGAGTTTCTTAGCCTAGTTATATATTTATATACATTTTATTTTATTTTTATTGACTTGAGTAAATAAAAATTATTAAATAATTTTGTGAGCATAGCTCATAAAATAATGGAAACATTATACATTAATACTAAACATTTTGCTGAATTTGTTTGTCTTGAATTATTAATTTCAGTTTAAAATAATTTATTTTTTAGTTAGATAAGTCTAAAGACAAAATAGAATCTCTTACTTAAGAATTGTTTCATTATGGCTCAATTATTTTTATTTATCATAATAGCAACATCAATTTAATAAATGTATTTTTATAAAATATTCCGTTGACAAAACACTTGAACTAAGCTAAAGTACTCGTCAAAGGTTAGTGTATAAAATGTCAGTAAATTTGATTGTAGTTGGTAAGAACTATGCACAGTGCTGTAGGCTGCAATGTTAGATGTGGTGAGCGAGGGGGGGGACTGCAAGTTTTGTGCGTTGTTTAAAATGTAGGCAAAACATGTCACAGCATTTTAATTTAAATGCAAATTAAGGCTTTTGTCAACACTCGAAGACTGGAAATTGAAGAAGAAGCGACAGCAGCAACAACAACAACAACAGCAACAACAGCAACAAAGGCAACGGCAACGGCAGCTCAAGAAACTGCTGAAGCATCAAATGGCTTCAAGGCCAACACCCAGAGAGCTGTCTAGCAATTGTCAAGCTTCTGACAACAACTGCCATCATATCACATTGCAGTCAATAAACACCAGCCGTCCTACCGGGCACACACCGTGCCGCCCAAGTAGCGCCACAGCCAGTCCAGATGGCCCGAGATGCGAGTGTTGACTCCGATGCCATAGCGCTGGCCACAGGCGCGTCCATAGCTGATGATGCCGAGCAGAAACATGCGGGATCGCTGACGCATGATCACCGGACCGCCTGAATCGTACTGGCAGGAGTCTTGGCCCAGTCCCAAGTAGTCGTAGGTACACACCTGA